CAGAGTTGTTGAGCTCCAGATTCTCTTCCAGTGGTGCAAGCTTTATTTTGTTTTCTCCCATCTACTTTATGCCTCTCAGAATAGAAAAGAAATAGGATTATGCTTTTGTTTATAAGCACGTCAGTAGAACTGGAGGTGCATTGTTAAAATTTCATTCCTAAGCTGCAAAACACATAAAATGATTCACTACTTTGGTTTCATCAGAGTACAAAACACGTACTGCGGATTAAAACATGACACACCTTGGGCCCCTGCCTCAGTGTTACTGACATACCAGAGCTTGTTTTTTCCTATTTGCTTTAAGACACTAGCCCCCATAATAGCAAGGAAATAAAAATCAGACAGATCTAGCTTAACATTGTCTTTACTACCTGTGACGACAGATCTGAGAGGTGTGAATTTCCTCAAATGTCTTGATCAAGATGTGGGAAGGTATTGATTGCAAAGGTCTAATAGCCGTTCATCTTTCCAAATTGGATAGAGAGACCTTGATACCATTCCAGATGAGAAGGCCTGTGGTCTCACATTACTGACAGAGGGGTAAGGACCTCTGTCTCTGTCCCCATCACTTCAACTTGGGCCAGGAAGAGCATGATAACCATGAAACAGTGGAGCTACAGAGTCTCTAGTACGACAGAATTCCTGTATGCCTGCACCTCTCACTTCAGTTTTCTAATAAATATAAGGAAAGAATGCTTTTTGTGTGTCAAGAAGGTTATTCAGAAATAATAATACTCCACTTTCTCTTAGTTTATTTTTTAAAAAATATTCCACTGCACATAAGGTGTGTAGCTCAAAGGAATGTTTTGCAAAGACTAATGCATTACGAAGCTAGCAAACCTCTACAGATGGGAAGATGCAAATAGAGAGAAGATAATGATTTGCTCAGGACTACATATTGTGTCAGTGGCAGAGTTAGGAATATAGTTTGTGTGGTTTTAAATGTGTCTCTCAGCTGATATGCATGGAATTGTGCAAAAGTGTTAGTTCAGAATCAAATGTATGACTTGAAATAGGGCACTGCATTCAGCTTTTAGTCTGAACAAACCCTTGAAATGAGGAAGAATATAATGCTGCAGAATTGCAATATCATTCTTCAGTCTGCATACAAAATTTTCTCAAGACCTGTTTTTGAACAGGTAAATGTTGGAAATAGCCGGATTTTGGACATGTGAGAGCAAATCCACTTCAACATTCAAAATACAATGAAAATCAGTGATTCAGTATTCAAGGACATGGACAAGAAAATCTCAGGCAGATTATCAGGTACCGTAACATGGAAAAAGAAACCTAAAGGACAGATTTTAAGGAGGTAAGATAAAGGCAATGCTAGATATACCTGCAGAATATCAAAACTGGGGCTAGACATACCTGCAGCATATCAAAAGTAGGGCGACGTGATAATTTAAAAATATGAATTTCCATTGTACGAATTTCCATTCTCCACTCTTAAAAACAAAACAAAAAGCCCAGTTTGTAGTTGAGAAGCCAAGTCAAGTCATTACTTCCTCCATGTCATCTCATTTTTCACGTGTGCTGTGTATTGGCAGCTCTTCTGGCTTTATACAGGCATACTAGGTAAATTATGAACTGCTGCAGTGTCATGTTTTATAGAGATCACATCATATCATGTTAGTTAAGTCAACATACTTGTGTCCAATTTTGTTTAAACTTATTACATCCCTCGTATTTTCAGCGTATTTTTCTATCTGTATTCACCTGCTTCAGCAAACAGCAAGCAATTTTTGTTTAAAGTTCAGAGTATGTTGGAGAACATGCCTTTTCACTATTATAGCCTGGAGTTTTTGAGACTTATAACTGATTATTTTGATCCTTAGTGGCTTTCTTGCCCACCTTATTCACATTCTTAAAATATTCCAGTTAAATTCTTTAAATTTATTTTTAATGCCTAAATATATATGCAGTGTCTCCTCCAATTAGATTGTCTAATTAGTCTAACTGCCATACAGTGTGGTGTGTACATGCACTCAAATTGCAATTTAACTTGACTGGCTAGTATAATTAATTTTGCCATTGCATTTAATTTTAGAATAAACCACATTTATTTCCCTTACACTAGATTCAGGAAATAAATTATAGTTGAAGCAATAAGATTTTTCCAGGCTTCTCTAACATTAAGTCTAAATTAATTTGGTATTTCAAATTCTTTTACCCAGCCCAGCAGTTATGTAGGCCCAATACATCACAGAAAGTTTACAGGTTTGATTGCTATTTCTGAGGGGTTGTTGGGGGGCAGAAGGAGTCTTTAGGCACAAATGGCCTACTAGATGTTGGTAACATTTAAGCAGGGTCTCTCTCAGGAGGACCCAGGATCAGTCTAACCATGTGGTGGAAGGCTTTGTTAGAACTACCTGCCTCTATTAATATCAATATGAACCTGATGATCAGAGCACAGGCAAGGTTGAAAGGAGAGCCTGACAGCACTGACAGGTTTCAAGCAGCAGGACTGGTGGGTATAGTCAAATTCTCTGATAATTTAAGAAAGCATAAATGTAGTGAAGTCACTGTTGCGAATACCACATACATCTTTAGCCGTGGTACGTGATGTATCCAATCACATTGTGCTTGCCTTCAGGTTAACTTCTTAATTACACTGGAGGGACCCACAGCTTGCCCAGTGCAGATGGGACAGGGTATAAATGAAAAGGCACATAAACAGATGCAGGAGCAGGAAAGGAGTTCAGATCCAAGATCAGCTTTAAGAAAATGATTAATATTTACTATGAATAAAAGGTCCATCTGTAATTTGAAATGGATTAACTAAAGAGGTATTTTAAGGTTAATGGACTAACATAATTTCTGGTGACAGTGAAATGCTTTCTGCATTCTGGCATTTAGTGCAGACAATATTCCAGTTATTGTAATCCAGATGTGAGATTTTTAGAAAATGTTGAGTGTGGTGATGGCAGCTCTTTGGTGGTAGGAACAAATTATGGCTTTAAACTAGATATTTTCTTTTAAAGAAACATATTCAGTAATACACCCCACATATGATTTAGTAAAGCTGAATTTGAGAGCAACTGACAGATCCTCCTGTGTGTCCTTGCATGCAGATTTTGTACTCCAGGGACCAGTGTAATTTGCAGTTGGGAAGCTTCTTTTAGGATTTTGATCTCCACCCCAGAAAAACATGAACAACCATGAGCAGGATCTAACTATATTCAGTAGTAAAAGTAAAACGTAAAATACATGCTTAAAAAAAGAATTGAATGTTGAAGAGTTTCAACTTGCTGTGGTGTTCTTGAACTTATTTCTGCTTTCTATGATGAACGTCCACAGATGTGGAAAAGACAGGGTTACTGTTTTTTTCTTTTGAATCAGGGCAGGAGCCTGAGACTAGCAGGGAAAAGGCCTGTCAAATGTTGTAGTTTCACAGCAGTGCCAGTTACTGTGGTTGTGAAATTGGGAACCCACGTTAACAACTAAGCATGCTCTATTTTATTGACAAACCTATATACAAAACTGGCAGTAGAGCCTATAGTCAAAATGGCACATGAGAATACTGATTACAATTCAGAACACTGTAAAATAGACACTGAAGAATACTGGTCAATGGTCACCTCCTTGCTAGTGCAGAATCTCTGCCTGTGCTTGTGTTTTCTCCAGTTCACAATGAGAATAACAGCCCTCTTCTCGTAGCTGTTGACTTCCAGATGGAAAGATGGGCCTAGCAGAAAGGGTTCTGAGGAAGTTCTTATATGTTTTCTGAAATTCTAGTGACCATGTTTAAAACATAACAATCAATGAAGGGCTTTTTCTAAGGGTGTGACTATAGGTTAATAATCTGGTAATGTGACTGTTGCCAAGGAAACAAAAATTTAATTTTCTGGCTCATTTCAAACATGGAGTTGAATTACATTTCTGTCTCTACATTTAATGAACAAATCGTTCCAATATTTGTGAGATTTAATTAAGATGGGGAGCTTACATGGGCAAGAGGGAGGCTGCTGCAGCAGCCATAACAAACTGATGTCTACTGTGGAAGAAAAGGCATAAATCCAGCATTTGACACTGTCTCTGCAATGCCTGGGCTCAGTCTTAGTTATCTATGTTAAAAGAAACCCCGAAACCTAAGGTAGAAATGGTAAGGCATTGGTTCATTGCCAAAAACCAAAGGAAGCCTTGCAGGGGCATGTTCCCTTCTAATGTTAGATAAAATACATGGCAAAAATCCACTTTCTCTCTTGCTAGAAAGAATTCTGATTTACAATAGGGATGATGCTCCTAGATGCCTGTCTTGTCACAGTATTGTATGCCCTGGCAGTATGACTGGTGGCTCTAAATGCTGTGGCCCTAAATGACCCAAATAATAATCTTTTCACACTAACCCCTCCCCATACAAAAGGTATTAATATTCCCCTGATAGCCTTGATCCGGGATTTCTGCTCCTTCTGACCCTTTGCTGGGCTTGCTTACAGAAAGCACAGTATAGACAAAAGATCCTACTGCACTGATCTCTAGCAACAGGACCATAAAGCTTCTAAGAAATAAAATTCAAGGAGGGCCTTAAATATCACCTCTACATCTGATCCAAAATAGAACATTCAAGTGCATTAAATAGCCTTAATCTAGCCTACATTTTTATAACCTCGCCTGGATGGCTCTACAGCGGTCACATCTGCTTATTTCTCTACAGATAACTAACTAACCTTTGATCTGCAAGTATGTTTGAACCATAAGCCTTTTTTTCAAGTATAAACTTTTTAAAGGGTAGTCTTCTGTATATTCTCATACAGAAGTAAATTTCCATCAGTATTAATACACTTTTCAAAATACTTAAAATTCACATACAGTTACCCTTATATGCAGATATTGCTCTAACAGCCACAATAACTAATCTGGAAAAGTTGTAATCATTCAGGAAGTTTTTCTCAACAACATTTGTGAAATACGAATACGGTTTCTGAATATAACTTTTAAAATTAACAAAATACAGGCAACAATTTAATATTGCAGATAACAGATTTTTTCTTCCTTAGGAAGACTATGATCGTCTGAGACCTTTATCTTACCCTATGACCGATGTCTTCCTTATCTGCTTCTCAGTGGTAAACCCTGCTTCATTTCAAAATGTGAAGGAAGAGTGGGTACCGGAGTTGAAGGAATATGCACCTAATGTTCCCTTTTTACTAGTAGGAACACAGGTATATCTGGTTCTGTTCTATTTTATTTAAACAATTAGGATCGTTATATGGTGCTTTTCTTTAGGCTGAAAGTTCAGGCCCAACAGGACTTGAGCAGCACCTCCTTCTGCCTTTGGAGCAACAACCTTTACAGGTGGCAGAAAAACCTAGATCTGTGTTGTTCTTTAATGAGCTACCTCCATTTTTATTAAAAAAAACTTGTTATACCCGTTGTAAACAGGGTGGCAAGATTGGCTGCATATCTCCATCTGACTTTCTAAAAAGTCATGGGACTTATGGAAAAAAATTGTCTGCCCATGCCCATGTTACTGGAAATGCTTGGGTGACAACTATTAATCATATGCAATATTTGCTGAAGCAAAGGAGCAAGGGGAGAAGTGAAACAATTTCTCCTTGCTTCTTGTGGGCAGTGGACTGAGCTTCATCTACGAAGTGACCCACATGTCGGTATCATGTTTGGGTTAATCTTTCTGCTGCTGCTGGATACACATATGAAGAGCTGAATTACAGAATAAATGTTAGTTCCTTCTGGATTAAAGGTAGTCGTTCACAGCTTAAATTTAGGGCTTTTAGATCAGGAACGGTCCATGATCCTAAACATGATATAACTCCCTTTTAATAGATGCAATACTCCTTTAAATAATTATCTTTTAAAAAGAGGGTATCATATTGTCTGCTGACTTTTGTTTAAAAAAAAGTATTCCAACATGACTGCAATCTTTCTTGCCAGATTGATCTTCGTGATGACCCAAAAACTCTGGCAAGACTGAATGATATGAAAGAGAAGCCCATATCTGTGGAGCAAGGACAGAAGTTAGCAAAAGAGGTAAACTGGATATTCCTAAATGAAACCAAATAACAAAGAAAAAAACCCCCTATTTCCACTTGACTCCTTTTGCCACTTTGCCCATTTCTTTTACCAGTCCATGTACGAACCCTTGCGACTGGTTACCAGTTAACAATATTTTCTTACATTGCTGAATAGAGGTAACAAGCAGACCTGTGTAATTGCACTTCCCTGTTAGTAACAGTTCTAATTTTCTGCATAGACACCTGTAAAAGCTATATAAGATAATTAAAATCACAGACTGGTTTGACGTCAGAAGGGACCTCTTCTGTTCAAGCAAAATGTTGTAAGCATCTTTTAAAAATTATTTGAGAATATTATACTACCATTTTAACTACTATGTGGATAATGCTTATCAGGACACTTTCTTATAGAGTCTTATTTTTGAAACACAAATTGGTCATGTAATTCTTTTTTGCTGTTTAATTATCAAACATACCTTAGGACCCCATTGCCAATCTAAAGAGTTTATTTAATATGTTTCCTTTATAAACCAACCAGCTTAAATACCTTCCAGATCTTTGGTGAAAAGACAGATCTTATTTTCTCAGACAGGGGGATGCATATCAGTTATGCAGATAACTTTTCTAGATTGCAGCCAAACATTGTAATGTCACCATGGGGGGGGGGAAGCAGAAGTGCACAGATGGAAGTGAACAGCTGAGATATATTGCTATTGAATTAACTTATTTTCTTGACAGATAGGAGCCTACTGCTATGTGGAGTGTTCAGCTTTAACACAGAAAGGACTGAAGACCGTTTTTGATGAAGCTATTATAGCCATTCTAACTCCAAAGAAACACACAGTGAAGAAGAGAATAGGCTCAAGATGCATAAACTGCTGTTTGATCACGTGAAAAACATTTGACAATGGCCAGGCTTACTGTGAAATTCTACTGATTTTAAATACAATGCATTAAGTACATAGCGAACTTGTTACAGGTTTGAAAGCTGAACCTACGATTCTGCCTTCTACAACCAGTGAAATCCAGAGGAATAAAATCAAAGTCAACAAACTTGTAATAAGAAGCCACCACACCTGTTACAAATATTTTATTCAGACTGGAAGGTACAATCTCTCAGGGTTACATAGTCTAGAGGAAGCAAAAACTGCACCATGCTGAAACGGCATCTGTGTGATTTTAATGAGTGGAGATGCTTGGCCTGAAATACTCTAACTGAATTTGGACAGTCTTCTGCTTTGACTATATATATATATATATCTATCTTAAAAAAACAACTTTTGCACAGTCTGTATGGAATCTGCACAAAGAAATACCTTGTCTCTCTTTGCTCCAGTTATCTGCTTTTGTATGTAAGCTGCTTCCGGTTCCAGTGTATCCACAGAGGTGCAATAATCAGACCAGCCATATAGCCAAAGGTAGCTCCGAGGGAACAGGAAATGGGCCATACCTGAGGGGAGAACACAAGGTAAAAGCAGACAATGGTGAAAATGTCTGTGGTTTTTTTGTACTTTGTGAGCACAAAATCTAGGTACTGAAAGACAGTAGTCTTATTCTACTTTAAAGCTTGATGTGCTTTCCTAAAAATGCCAAAAGCTTAACAATCATCTTCATGAACACTACATGCTGTTGTACAGTTTTTAATTAAGATGCATTAAAATGTAAGAAGGCTTCTGGCTCTTGCAGACTTAAGTTTGATAGTCCCAAAATTCTGTGGAAAAAAAAACCTTAGAAGTATTTATATCCCCTGAAGTGTTCAACTAACCTAACTTCCTGTTCTGCTGCATACATTTGGAAACCTACACCTCTCACAGTGTTTTGAAATTTTTAGAGGTGTGTATAAATGAACTAGTATTCAAACAAGGGCAGAGACTGAGATGGATAGAGGTTTGTTGGCTTTTTTTTCCTTGATGAATTTCCCTCTGACTCTAAATTTGGAAACTGAGCATCCTGCACCCAGTTCAGCAAACATGTAGTAAACTGGTTATGTTAAAGAGAGCTTTAATTATAAGCTCTATTTTCTAGTATAAGAACAGGGAGCTGACTCAATAAAGCTGACTCACTTTCACAAACCATCTTATACTGAGGCAGAGTAGTAATGGAATTCTCCCCCTGCCCTTTTTTTTTTTTAATTGGTATTGATTTGCAGGGAGGAGTGGCCAAACCAAGACTTAACCATTCTGTCCTCAGATCTAGCTTATATTACTAGTCCACTACATACTGCATCTGATGAAAGTCTCAACTAAGTAAGTGATTAAAAATATTTATTGTAGAATAAACAAATTCCCATCCCTCTTCAAAATTCTCCTTTGCATACTTCTTTTTATTTCATAAGGACAGTTTTGAAATTCCTGCTGTACAGTGCATATTCCTGAAGCAAGAACAGACTGGACTCTCCTTTTATTTTTTTAAATTAAGGGGGATATTTCCCCCTTCTGTAGTACTTGAGACTGAGAAATGCATTAGACATTAGAGAAAACATCCCAATCTCCGAGTTCAGACTTCTTTTCTACTTCACTTTAACTTGCAATTCATGAATATCAAATGAAGTTACTCTTAACGCTATTGGTTCCTCCTTTCATTCATTTTTCTAGCTCTGATTCTTCTCTTTACTTCATTATCATGTAAAAGAATATATTTATTCACAACTTCTGATCATAGGAATTTTAACTATGAATAAGAGTAATGTATTTTGTTCTCTGCTCTTTCATCTTCAGTCTCCTCAGCTATTTTTTCATCTTCACATTCCTTAGCATTTACAGTTTTATATGTTATTTGGAGGTCTTAAGGAGTGTAGCAAAGATGACTATTAAACAAGGTGCCTTAGGTACTCTTTATTGACCTTGTTTCATTCTTCCATTTTCAGACATTCTGTCTCTGCTACTTGTTTTTGTTGCTGAGTATTTTGGCATTGCCTCTCAAACCAAAGATTTGCTTGTTTTCATTCATTTAACAGTTGTATTGTGTATTGTAGATCATCTATAAAAAGCCTTGAGATGCTTTGGCATGGTAAGATACTATGTGTATTTGAAACTCACCTAAGTTTGTGGCCTTGGCTAAACTTACACTTCAGGTGGATCTTTTCAACTTCTAAATGAAATGTAATTATTTCTAGCATTTTGCATATTACACACATCTACAGGACAAAACAATAAAGTCCCTGCAACCCCAGCTGCTCACTCAGTAACATTCAGTTGGAACATGACTCATACTTACTTATCCACTGATGAAGTCAAACACCACTCTAATATCCACAGAACTATGGATAGAGGCTTCTTAACTTGGTGGTCTTTTTACATCAAATTCTCTGAGTGATCAATGATCCTTCATTAAATTTTTACCTACATTAGGTGAATTTATAGTTGCCTGTTTGCTCTTCACAAGTATAGGTAGGTAATGGACTTTGAATTGACCACGTTCCAAAGTCAGTATCCGTGATGACCCATTGACCCTGTATATTTTGGTATTTTGTGTATAGCGGGTGATTATTGGTACGATTAAAAGAATCTCTGATAATTGTTGTAACTTCTTTTACCTGACTGAACTGCAACTTGGGACATGATTTTTCAATAGTTATGTGATTTTTAATATCAATTATGCCTCTGTCTTTCTTCTAAGAGATTCATTTTTTTCTTTGCTTTTTAGAAGTCATAGTTACCCTATAGAAGTTTCAGGCTGTCTCACTTAACATGCGAGTCTCTGACCTCTGAACCCTCACCAGTGGCAGGTGGCAAAGACAGGGGACAAAGAGAAGAAACCATAAAACACTCCATCTCCCTGTCTAAGAATAAGACAGAAAAAATAACACCACCTCATCCCTTCTAGTGGCATAGAACAGAAGGGTACTAGGCCAGGTACTTGTTCTAAGTCTGCTGCTCAGATGGCCCAAAGCAGTTCTGAAGGCAGTTTGATTGTCCTTTAGAATTAAAAGCCTGGACTTAAGAGCATTGCTGTCCTCATTCTATTTTCTCTAATCCTAAAGACAGCACAAAACCTCCAAACAAACAGGTAATAATACTAGTTTTGCACCTTTTATTCTTGACTGCTGGCCTTTAGGCTACATATAGCCAGAGGCACCCATGGGTATATCTAAAGCAGCAAGTTATCAAAGACAGATGAAGATATGGCTCTTGAGCACATCAGCTGCACTAAAATAACAGCCCTTGCACATGCTTTTTGTCTGCCTATGAAAGTGGGTTGCTTTTTTCTATGAAAGTGGGTTGCTTTATTTTGTATTAGCTGCTGGCCTCATTTTTTGAGACCCAATCACTTTCTGCTGGACCTTTTTAAATGACTTTGACTTACTTGATCGGTCTGCTTTTGCCCTGTCTTTCATATTATCTCAAACTTGATTTAACTTCCCTGACTTGGTATGAACTGCCTGTAAGTGATAGAAATCTAAGCAGCTAATATCTGTGTGCATGTTCCAAGAGATTCCACTCCACTTGTTTAAAGTATGCAACTTGTAATACACCCCCCTCATCCCCTGAGAACTTTTCAGCTCAATTTCTCCTATTTCATGCTCCCTTCTGCCTTGAGGAAGCTGGCATATCCTACCCCAGTACCGATGCCATGTCTAGGCTGGGTTAGCAGCAGGGGAATAAGATGTTAGGCAACATGACCTAGCTGCACTTTTTTTGAGGGGAAAGAAGGCTGATCTGGAGAGAAAAGTGTGGGGGTTGCAAGAGACAGGACAGAATATTTTTCATGAAACTGTCATGAAATGCCTTGTCTGTCCCAGCAGCTGGGAGGCATCATCTACCATTCTCACAGCCTAATACAAGAGAAGTCAGTTTACATATCAAAGGCATGATGAAAAGGGCAAGTTTAACAACCTGTAATGATTACTAGGAATCTGAACAACAGCTTGGCAAAACTAAATCCTAACAAGAACAAAAAACGCATTTTAAGGGACAGAGCATGAGAGTTAATGCAAAATGATTTTGACTTCTGCTATTTGTTTAAATTTTCTTTTTGCCTTTTCATCTGACACCAGTGTTAGGACTTCGCAGTGATTTCTTTAGGCTGGCTAAATAGACACTGCAGAACTGCAAGGTTTTTAGTATATATTAGAACTCATTTTAAGAATAAGGACTCAAAATAGGAATTACCTACCCTTCAGGACACAAACGAGCTAGTTTCCTCAGCGCTCTTTAGAACACCTAAGATTCTATGATGTGAGAATGCTTAGCATATTGCATGGAAAGCAGAGCATGTTGCAGATCCCAGCACGGTATCTAGCTCTGCTGCACTGTGCATGTAATGAGTTAAACCAGAATTCTGACTGCATGACAATTTTGTCATCTATTACAAGTCTGTAACTTGCATCCCATGCAAGGGGAATTACACAGGCATTGATAAGGACATAAAGGCCAGATTCTTGTAGACCAGAGGAACAACACCCTAATAAAGTTTTTAAAGATACTATAAAGTAAGCAGCTGACTGCTGGAACTTTCATTATACATATGCAAATACAGTGGGGCAATCTACTGTACTTACTTTTCTTTTTAGTAAACTTAGAGTGCTTTTCTCATATTCCTAAACTCGATTTTTTGTATGCTTACTGTTTCAAAAGACTAATTTCTGACTGTCATTTAGAAAGCTATGTAATAATTTTTGTTTCATTTTAAAACTGAATAAATGAGCACAATTACTTTCCCTCCCTGTTTCTAACATGCCTTAAATTCCTGATTGTTTAGTCTGTACTGTCTTAAATCGGTACATGCCTTTAATCTATTTTGGTTGCATGCACATGTTAACTAAAAGTGTCTTATCACATTGTACAGAATGTGTGTGTTGACAAGCACACATTGAGAAGAAAGTGTGAGGTTTTTTTCAGGCTGGCATTTGTAACTAGAAGTTGGTTTCATGGATTTGTGTTCTAAAGTTATAGCAAGAATAACTGCCTTTGATCTCACCATTAAGGTTTACATTGAGAAAACACATTATTAAATAAACAACGATAACCACATTGAAGTGGAACAAGCTTCTACCTCTGTTTAAAACAACTCCAACTGCATATTATCCCTTCTTCTCACATTAAGCAACTTCTTTTACAACACAACTTTCCCAGTAGGTAGTAAATCCCAAAAGAAATACAAGAAGGAAATTCTCAGAGCGGTGTTAAGAAGAACCAAAGTAGTGTGAAAGTTTATAGTCCTATTTCAGCTTACTTGAGTAAGCACCAAGAACTGTACCCAAGATTCTCCAGATTATTTTTCAGGGTACAAATGTCTGAGAGGTATCCAAGGCTAATATTTACAGTCATATTGGCTAA